CAAAGACCTGGAAAATTGCATGATTTTGGATAATATTAAGTACCTAGATCCAGCTATGTCTATGCCAACGCTATGCTCCTATGCAGCACTATTCAATGAATATGAACTTCCAATTTTTTTTGTTGTTTTTGTGCAGATCATTTTGGACTAGTATGGGGAAGGGATTCTGTAACTTGCAACCAAGAAATTCATCAGACACATGAGCCTTAAGGATGAGTTAATAAAATGCCCACAGAGGCCTGGCACTGTAGCCTGGTAACCAAAGTCCTCAGCTTGCACGCGCCGGGATCGCATGTGGGTGCCAGTTCATTTCCCGGCTACCTCATTTCCCTTATAGTTCCCTGCTGATGGCCTGGGAAAGCAGTTGAGGATGGCCCAAAGTCATGGGACCCTGCACCTGGTATGGGAGACCAGGACGGATCTCGTAGCTTTTGGTTCCTGGCTTCGGATTAGCTCAGCTCTGGCCATTGCAGCCACTTTGGGAGTAAATCGTGGGATGAAAGATCTTCTTCTCTGTCTCTGCTCCTCTCTGTATATCTGCCTTTCCAGTGAAAATAAATAAATCTTAAAAGAAAAAGAAAGAGAGAGAGAGAGAGAGAGAGAGAGAGAGAGAGAAAGAAAGAAAGAAAGAAAGAAAGAAAGAAAGAAAGAAAGAAAGAAAGAAAGAAAGAAAGAAAGAAAGGAAGGAAGAAAGAAAGGAAGAAAGAAAGGAAGGAAGGAAGGAAGGGAGAAAAGAAAATGATAGAGTGAACAGTAACAGAGGGTGCAGCAGAGAAGGGCAGGGACCATGGAGACATCCTGGCCACAGATGACTCCGCGTGGAGCGGCAGGTGCATGAGGTGAGACCTGAGTAAGGAAAAGACAGGCCAACCGCTGAGGAGAGAGGCAGAACTACGCGGCGGGCAGAGAGCACCACACGTGTGAAGGTTCTGAGGCAGGAAGGAGTGGGAGTGAGGACAGTGGTCAGGAAGCAGGACTGTCACCATGGGCAGACAGAAGGGATTGATCTCTGTTCAAAGCACAATAGACAGCCATGGGAGCGTGCTGGACAGGACAGTGGCCCCAGCTGACTGTATCTATTTCCTACCGTATGCCCACAACAGGCATTCATTGAACAAGGTGAGGACTGTGCCCTGTGCTCCCCTTGGCTGCCCTCTGAGGGAGCCAGGCGGGCTAGGAAATCCTCCATTTGCAGAGCTGCTGGCAGAGAGGGGTTGTGGGGTGGGGAGCAGGGGACATCACTGTCTTCTCCAGTGGTTCACGCTGGGAAACAAGCCACCCGGGTGCTGTGGCAGTCCTCGCCCACTCTCTGCTCGGCCACTTGCTGCTGCTTGGTCTCCGCTGGCAGGAACCCACTGTCGGATGTGTTTTGAAAGCCATTCCATATGCTAATGGAATGTCACCTTATGCCAGGGGAGGCAGCACTAGTTTTTATTTTTATTATTATTATTACCAGGAAAAACTATTATTAGAGAGATGAGGTGAGCGCAGAGGACCACTAAAGGGTTCATGCGGCGCTGACCTGCGGCTGACCTAAGCCGTCTGCGGCCAATTAGCCTCTCTCTCTCTCTCTCTCTCTCTTTCCCTCTCTCTCTCTCTCCTTCTCCCTCTCGCTCCCACCCACCCACCCTCTCCCTTTTTTCCCTTCCCCTTCTTGGAGACATGATGAAATTTCCTGAGAGGAAAACTAGCAGCCCGTGCTGTAAAGTGCCTTGGCCGCGGCCGGACTGACAGCAGCTTTTATCTCCGCTCCCGACCCTAGACGGGGCGGCTGCAGCCAGAGCTCAGGGGGTGCCCGTTGCTGGGTGTGGCGAGCAGGACTGGGAGATGGTGCGCCCCGGGGTTAGGTGTCCTCTGGGGACTTAGTGGGCACGCATGGTTCCGCCTCCCAGGAGGAGCCCCAGACAAGCTCCAGCCGCCAGAACTGGAGTTCTCCCAACCTCTGTCCCCTTTGCTGGTCAAGCAATGGTCCCCTCCCGTAGGGCAACCCCCAGAACGACTCCTGGCGCACGGGCCCTTCCAGCCAGGGTGCCCCGCTCCAGGCTGTGACGTTTCAGGCCGGACCTTTGACGCAGCACCTGGCTACCTGCCCGCCACCCCGCTGTCCCCCGGGGCCACTGACCAACCACCGCCCAGAAGTCGCGCACACACATGGTTCGCGAGTTGATGGTCGGTGTGCCCCGCAGCCGCTGCTGATGTGCACCCTGGAATGGAAACTTTCTAAGAGTGACAGCCCCCGTTTCTTGTGATGACCTCGTCTGGTGGCCAGCGCCCTCAGCCGCCCGTACATTCCTCAGGGCCTCTGTCTCCTTAACACCCTCAGAATCGCCTCTCCAGTTCCTCAGGGTTCTGTCCTCTGCTATATCCCACTGTCCGTCTGCTGGAACCCCCAGTCTGCTGTGCCCATCCTTGTCCAGCGCCTCCTCTCCCTCTGACTTCATGCAGTGTGGACGGCACAAACGACTGAGGATCACATGGAGGATCAGCTAATTGAGCCATCACAAGGAGCCCCTGAGAAAGTTACTTTTGATGTGCACTCCCATGGCTATCTCTGTCCCTGTGGGCTCCACCACCTCCTGCTTAGAAGGTAAGCTTCCAGGGATGGCCATGGACTCAGTCATTCCAGATTTTTACTGAATCTATGTAAGGTGATCACACCTAACTTTGTGCTGCGAGTCTAGAGAGTTTCTTGGGACTCTGTCAAGCTTCCAGAACCTTCTTCCCTTTAAAGCACAAGCTGATCTCAGGCCGAATGCTGCCTGGCTGAGATGTGAACACAAACAGCTGCTCTCATCTCACAAGAGGACGGCCACGGCCACTAGGGCTGCGTGCCTTCCCTCTCCTCCATTTTGAAACACCTGCCTTTTGGGATCACATTCTTAAAAGAAAAAAGGCACTCCATTGCTGGCCACTTTGCCATAAGATTTCTCATTTAATTTGTACCTTTCCTCTGGAACCTCTTTAGTTCTTCAAACTTGGACAGCCTCAAGTAACTCAAAATGGGCCAGAAGCCAGCATGCTCGGGGCACACACATCCCATTCAGGGTTCCAGGTCTAGCTATTTTTGCTTCTGATCCATCTTAGTGCTAATGCGGCTGGGAAGACAGCAGCCACCCATCTGACACAAACGAAGTCCAGGCTCCTGGCTTTGGCTTGGTCTATCTGAAGTCAGTTACTTGGGGCATGAACTAGCAATGATTTTTTTCCTGTCATTCTGGCTTACAAATAAAATAAATACATATTTTCTTTATTTTTAAAGATTTATTTATTTTTTATTGCAAAGTCAGAGAGGAGGAGAGACAGAGAGGAAGATCTTCCATCCGACAATTCACTCCCCAAGTGACCGCAAAAGCTGGTGCTGCGACGATCTGAAGCCAGGAGCCAGGAACTTCCTCTGGGTCTCCCATGCGGGTGCAGGGTCAAAAGGCTTTGGGCCGTCCTCGACTGCTTTGCCACGCCACAAGCAGGGAGCTGGATGGGAAGTGGAGCTGCTGGGATTAGAACTGGCGCCCATATGGGATCCTGGTGCGTTCAAGGTGAGGACTTTAGCCGCTAGGCCACCATGCTGAGCCCTAAATACATCTTTTCTTTAAAAAATTTTAAATCACGCTAGTTCAGAGAAGGCAAATTGATGTCACAGAGATTTATCTCAGAAATCAGTTGCCAGCTTTTCTAAGTTGGGTTGGCACATGATCTGTATTTGCAGTTTTGCTTGACATTGCATCATGGACTTGCATGCTTGCAAGACCTGAGCAGGTGATACATGGAAGAGTACACCAAAAGCAGGTATCCCCCCCACAGCTCATCAGTGACAGGATGACAGGCAGATGGCCTGACCTCCTATCTCCTCATCAACTGGAAAACAGGCTGAGATGACAAGGTACCACCCCAGCCTCTGAGGAGATATCCAAGGTGCCCGCCCCATCCCTCTTCAAGTCTTTGACAATCAACATGGGGTGAATTTAGAGCTATGACTTTCTTGGAGCAACACCTTCCCTCTCAAGGAAAAGCAGGCTGGTATTTCCTGAATAGAGTGAGAGGCCAACTCCACCCTCAACTGGAACCGGCTGCATAAAAATCAGGTGCAGCCTTATAATCATGAGCAAGAATGAGGTAGAATTCCAAGTACTAAGATGCACCTGTACGTGAACATGAGCTGAAAGGGCAAGGTTGCAGAGGGCAGTCCGTGTCCGTTAAGGAGGAAGGTATGGACAGGTTTAAATCACAATCGTCGACTCAGAATCTATCTGCGAAGGACAAACACGAATGACAGCTGGTGACGAGGGAAAAGGACTGCTGACTCCATGCCTTACGGTTTGTGAACAGACTTTCTGAGCCACACGCGCATCGCCTATTTTTAAAACATTTTACCAAAAAAAAAAAAAAAAAAAGTATTTCTGTATGAAAACACTCAAACTGTATCACCCAAATCCCATTCCCAGTCTGGTCAACTAACAAACACCCAGCTTTCCTGAAAACTCAGCCCCTGCGAGTAGAAATACTGCGCTCCTCCCATTAACTCCTCAACCAGTGACGGGATGTCTGCAAACATGGAGAACGGAACAACTTCTGTCCAAGGCCTGGAGTGACGGGAGCTGCACCCACCATCTCTCATCCTTGTCCCCCAACCCCTGAAGGAGAGGCTAAGGATCCACGAACACCTGCAAGCCACACTGAAGGGGCTACTCTGCTATTCTGGGAGCAACTTGTGAAGCAACGAAAAGTGTGGGAATCACAGATGTGCCGGAGAAGTGCTCTCAAGGAGCCCCCAGATCCTGGGCTTTCCAAGGCAGCGCTCGGGAAGGGTCCCAAGACGCAGGAATTACATCACCTCTTACAAAGTTCTCATAGGTCAAACCCAGTTGGCCACCAACTTCATTCTACAGGGTAATCTATCTTTTCGATTCTGGAAACTTCAATCCTAATTCCCACTGAATTACTAAGAGCATTAACAGGCTTTTTTTTTTTTTTTTGGAGGGGAAAAATTTCTTAACAGAACATCAGAGTATTGCAACACTTTATTAATAGAGTATTGGCTTTGAATTAGTAGCTGATGTAACAATTGCATGAAGCCAGATTCGGAGTATGGCAGAATACTCATACCTGATTTACGGACATTATTTAGCCATTTATTGGACAAAGGTCAAACTTTTTGTTTTTTATTAAGCACATTCCACAGTACAAAGCTGTCATGAATAATATCTGTACAATTTAACAGTTTCAATAGCTGTTCAGACACAAATTTCTTTCAAACAGATAATTGGCAAACATAATTAATTACAAGTTAGAATTAGACTATCCCAGTGCTTTAAAACATTAATATAGCAGTAATTTACAGTTGCTCAATTATGGTTAGCAAAATAAAGTCCAGAGTATGGCTGGGAATTACTACTATAATCCCAGTAAAGTCAGAATTCCTTGGGTGCCAAAGTCCCCTGCTATAATTTCATAGGCACAATTCAAAGGTTGTGTGCATATTCAAAGGCCATGATCTCCCAAGGAACAAGAGGAACTTCTTTAATAAACATGCAAAAACAACAAAAAAAAATCCATTCGTTCTGAACTACTGTCTCCTCCCGCCCTGCCCCCCACCCTCCCCTGCCCTTGGGCATTCCTAAGGGGTTAGACCCACAAGCTGTCAAGGTGAAGGGCGGCCAAAGTGAAACAACTTCCACAGCCGCGGTCGAGCTCATGGCGTCTACCTTGGGATGGCGGTTTAGTTATTTATTTATTCATCTCCACATTTTGAGGCTCAACCTCTCAAAAGCATAGAAAGTTAGTCACCTGTGGGAGGGGAGGATTACATGTATGTGTTTATGTATGTAAATGTGTGTACACACACATACACCTATATATGAAAGGAAGAACTAAAAACAGCAGAGTCAAGCCAGGACACAGCTCACACACACACGCCTTGATCCCACACCCAGGGGCCAGCGGCCTTCCCTTTACTTCTCAAGTGTGCTTCCACGGGAAGAGGTTTCCGTCCCAGGAGACTACCGATTGGTCCTTTAAAACGCTGCAGACGTCCTCGGCCGTTGGAAACAATGACAAGGGGACAAATCAAAGCCTAATGCTGCTTGTGCAAGGGCAGAGGAGCACCGAGCGGATGCCACTGTCCTTCCCATGCATGGCCAGTGCGACAGTACCAGTCACGCACTTGTGGCGGCAAAGCAGACGGGAGCGGAGAGAACCTGCTTGGGGCCACAGGAGCAGGTGACACCAGAGATGGCTGGGATGGGATGCATGGGCAGGAAGCTTTGTACTGCCCAACAGTGCCCTGCCCTCAAGGTGGGTGTCTGGGCCTCGCCTGCTCAGTGAACCCCAACATCTGAGCAGGCCCTGCTTGCCCCCAGGCAAGGCCAGGACCCAGGAAGTCTGGAGCCAAGGAAATTCAGGTCAATACCACACACAATAAGGATTTCTGACAGTGAAACCAAATGAATACTATGGGAAGTTGACCAGAAGTCCTCCAAGTTATTCATGAGGAAAGACCAATAACAACAAAAATGTTTAAGGTACCTCTCTATTATATATACTGCACAACAAATAAAACATTTTTGTGTTAAACTTTAGGAGTTACATTAAACACACACACATACACCCATGCACACACGCACACGTGCGCGCGCACACACACACAATGACAATGACAAAATAAAACCACTGTATGAATACTGCAGGAAGGGTTCTAGGCTATCCACATCAACCCTGCTGTCAGATTCTTGAGTCCAGCCCATGGCTAAGTGCGTACACACTTTATATTAGTGTCTCAGGCACTGGGGCCAACCCCCGACTCCAGCAACCTTGAGGTTAAACTGTTATGTACATTATATCTACATGCGGATACAGTATTTTAAATTAGGAGGCAAGCACACATATAAAGGTGTTACTCTACCAAATATCAGGAGATGGCTGGGGAACAGAGAACAGTTAATGAAAGAAAAGAGCTATATTACCTGTTGGGAGATAATATAACTGGTGTATAGTTCTTTAAATTAAAAGAAACCAGTACACAAAGGAAGTAGAATTCAAAAAACAAAAATAAAAAAAAATGTTACTAAAACAATCCCGAGAAATTTGTTCTCACTGTCCGACATGTTCCTAACACAAGTCAGAATTCATAATGACTTGGACGGTCAAAAGGAGAATGCTAACTTCTGCAAAGAAAAGCCCTGGACATTCTGGGTAGGTGTTTGGCACCCAAAATTTCACTGTAGAAGAATGCTGTTTCTTAAGGTCAGACCAAAGTGCAAAGCAGTATAAATTAGAGGCCAAGTCTTCTCTTGCCGGTTGCTTTTACTTCTGCAAAACACATTGTATGTTCCTTTTAATATGAACAATTTACATTTGAGGCATTAGATCTGTTCACTGGTGGCAGAGGAAATGGGCTTCTGTTCTACTTGAAGTCGGGAAGCTAAGGTATCCTTCTCAAAGTAGAGCCGAGGTCGGAAGTGAAAAATGTCGGTACTTGAAGAGTTAGGCTGCTTTGCATCTACCCAGCGTCTAGAACCAATTCCAGCTTCGTAACTCAGCTGTGAACGAATTCCCGTAGGCATCTGGTAGCCATGTAGCCAGTAGTTCAATACTAGGAAACTCTGGGAGGCAGAGGGGGGAAAGGGAATAGGGATGGATAAATGGGTTAGACAAAGATGTACACACGGTGGCCCCACCCATCCACACAGTCACCCGGTGTGACCAGCAGCGTGCAGGTCTGCTTCTCGGGTGGTCAGCATAGGAAGCGGGAGATGCAAGCTGCTAGGAGCGTATCACATGCCAGGCACGTTTACTTTAACCTCACACCACCCCGTAAGGTGGAAATGCTTCCTGTGTCTACTTCACACATAGGCAAAGGAAGGTGCAGAAACACAGCATCAGGTTCAGAGTTAATCCTCTAGTGACAGGGAGGGGCTTCACAGAGGGGGCGGCTGCTTCAGTGCTGCTGCCAGGGAGCATGAGCAGAAGCAGTGCGCTTCCTGCTGCCTTCCACCGTCAAGCAGCCCCAGCCCTGCCTCAGCAGCCCACGCCCAGAACCCTTACCTCCCCAATGCCACAGCATTGGCAACATCAATAAACAAACTTCCCCTGTCAGATGGGATGTCAGCCATCAGAAATGACTTAGAGGGACAAGATGACATGCTCCACATTTCATTAATCACAGCCTTGAGTTAAAAATACAGTTCAGGGGCAGGCATTGTGGACACTGCTGTTTGGAGACTTCCATATCCCATTTTTGAGTGCTGCATTAACTCTTAGCTACTCCACTGGCATCTCGGCTTCCTGCTAATGGATGTGAGAGGCAGTGGGTGACAGCCTGAGTACCTGGGGCCTCGCCCATGTGGGTGGACACCCAGATGGAGTTCCTGGCTCCTGGCTTCAGCTTGGCCTCACCTTGACTACAGCGGGCATCTGAGAATGGAACAGGTAAAAGGAAGCGCTCTCTCTCTCTGTCTCACCTCCCTGTTACTCCATCTTTCAAATAAACAGTGTCTTTTTAAAAATACACCAGAGGCTGATATCCTGTTTTAATTTTTTTTAAAGCCCAAATCCATTCATATTACTTCATAATCAATATTGTGTCAAATCCCCTTCAGGCACTAAGCTAAACCACTGGCCTAGATTAGAAAATCTGAAGTTACCTTAGGTATAAAATTGTACAGCAGAAAAGAAAGGTCTTCTTAAGGGACATATACTTAAGGTAACTTTCCAAAAGGTTGCAGATTTTCATAAAGACCAAAAATCCTAGTAAGTCTTCTCAATGAATATAAGGCAGATTACACTGTATTCACCACTGGTCTCCCATGAATAATGTTTAAGAGTATCTAACTTGTTCTGAAAAACCAGCACTCAAGAGATTAGAGAGGCGAACACTGCCAGTCCATCTAGTCCATCCCACAGGGGGTACCATGACCCTGTGTCCCCCAAGTCTCTGAACATGTTATCACTTAACCCAGACATGTCAAATGCTTAGATAATTCCATCCAGAGGCTGAAAAGGGTGGGCAAAGATACAAAAACCACACAGCATCTGATAATTAGGATTAACCATCAAAATAAATATTAAGATTATTTATACCTAACAATTTCAGAGTCAGAGTCATTTTCAAGAACGAGTAGAGTTACATGCCACAGTTTTTTAAAGCCTGAAATGATACAGAAGATTTAAGATAAAGACAGGATGCTATTGGTGAAAGGACAGGCACATAGTCACAGAAGGACCTGGAATCCAAAAGCAGACCCATATGTAAGAGGATAAGAATATTTTGAAAAACGTTCTTGGGTATTTCAACAGAAGGAAGAAAATCTTTCCATCAGATAGTTCTGGAACTGTCTAACTCCATCAAAAGAGTATCTACATTCTTACCTGGTACCACACACAAAAACTTAACTCTAATTGTTGAAGATCTTACTGCAAAAGGTATAAAGTCTCTAACCTCTAAACCAATATTGGCCCAAACAAGGAGTCAGCAAGCCACATGTGGCTGTTTAAGTTTAAATAAAATGGTACTAAATCCAATTACAGGAGTGGCAGGCCCTAAGCTGGTCATAACGGCAGGTGAAGAAACTAATGAAGACTAAAAAACAACAAACCAAAAAACTGAAATTAATGAAGACTATCCAGTGGAAATTCACGAGATTTGTTAACATTTGAGAACTTCATTGGTGCTGTGGATGAGACATTGAAAACTATGATGTGTGACAGAAATGAGTAAAAGAAGCGTGTTAATGAGTTAATTCTAAGGAGCATCCCATATAATAGGAACTGGAAAGAATCAAGAGCATACGTGAACAGAGTCAAGGAAATAGCACACAAGAAAAAGGATGGAAAATCGGACAGGGGTACAGCTTCAAGATTCATAAAAAATGCTCTCTGGGAACCAAACTCTAAGCATGCATCAAAAGTTACCAATAAGGGAATAAATTAAAATGAGTTTTAGTGTTGATGTACACCTATTCAAACAGCGTATCATTTTTATTGTCACAAAATATCCAATTATGTGGCAATGAAAGGCTTAAATGTATTCCTTGTTGATTTTATATGTAAAGATGTACTTCAGATTTGTAATGCAAAAAGTTTTTCCCCAAAATTATTCTTACTGATTTTTCCCATAGATTACTCAGTTTCAATGTTCTGATCTATTTTATATTTTATCATCTCTTCTGATGACACTTACTTCTTTACATAGGTTAGTTTTGCAAGTATCATTTTATAAACATCCGACTTGATACTTTTTTTTTGTTATCCTTAAAATCACTTTCAGAAGGCTTTAGGGGGCATAGAGAAGCCCATGAGTTGTGGCTGAAGTGAAGTGTCTAGTTTTCTTGGTATCACTTTTTCTGATTTTCCAATTACATGTTTTGGAGGCTGTATCAGTTATGTACAAGTGTTACGGAGCAACACTGCATAACCTGCTTAGACAGAAGATAATTCCAAGATCACATTGTGTTTATATGCTGAGTTATTTCTCTGAAATATTTGTGGTAATGTTATAGCCACACCCACCCTCCCAACCACCCCAGGGTCCCCGATGTGGGGCATGCTCCAAGGGCATTGCTCAAGTGGTTTTGATAGCTCAACTGTTCTGAATTGCTGCCAATCTCGTCACTCTAAACATGATGAAATCTCTTCAGAATTCACTGGCTGACACAGTCCACCTTAGCGTCTCCACTTGCCCAGATTTTCACTGCCAAAGCTTGGTTGGGCTGATTGATCGATCTGTTCGTCTTCTGTTGTGGAACCAGGTGTCCTCTGCAGACTCCAATGTACTACCATATGCTCCATGTGCACCTGGATATGCTGTCCACTGCTCCATCTGAGCTACTGAGGAAGCTCAGCTTTGACACATGCACTCCATGGTCAGACCATGGAACCTGCACTTCTCTTCATGGTTGGGGTTCTGAGTCCAGCAGTTAAGATTGGAGGAATCCTCAAAGAAACTTCGTCTGAAGTGATCCCAGACCAGATTCTTGGATGTGCTTGCCAGTACAGTGTCTGGTACAGTCCATCACCCAGCTTATGCACATGCTGGTGGTTGCGATTGCTGGGTCAGTTCTGTCTCCAGCCCTATCTTCCACATGAACCAATGGATGTTGCAGCCCATCCCAATCCTGCCCACCACTCACTTGGCCATGTAAACCAGTAGGAGCTGCAGCCTGGTAGGGGCGACTCCTAGTAACCCTCACCAGGCCCGCCCCCTGTCCTGGTAGAACCATCTGGAGAGTGCATAATCCGGGAATGGGAATGGCCTAGAGGGAAACAGTGGGCACCTCCCTCCTGGGATGCCACTCTGCCCGGTGAGTATGAGAACCAGGACTTGGACAGGCATGGCTAGACAGAGTGGCATCCGTTGGCGGGTGTGTGGAATGCATAGTGCGGCTGGTTATTAAACTAGGCTTCAATGCCCAAGACACGTATGAGAGCTGAATGGGATGTGGGAGAGGCTGGACCAGTCTGCTGTACATACAGGTTAAATTTTTTGATGCCAGAGTCTGAATTTTAATTGTATGTTCTTAATTTACATCATTATGTACTGGAATGCCAACAACAGCAAAATACTGTAATTTCTGAAAAGGGAGTTTGGGTTTTCTGTGATTAATTTTCCATAAGTAACCTTCAATAAATGGATTCCTTGGTTTATTTTGGAAAGATTTATTTATTTATTTTTATTGGACAGGCAGATATGCAGAGAGAAGAGACAGAAAGGAAGATCTTGAGTCTGCTAACTCAATCTCCAAGCAACTGCAACGACCATAACTGCGCTGATCTGAATCCAAGAGCCAGGAGTCTCTTCTGGATCTCCCATGAGGTTGCAGTGTCCGTCCCACTGCTTTCCCAGGCCACAAGCCACTAGGCTACCATACTGGGCCCTTTATTTATTTTTAAGATACAAGAAGTGGTCTTAAACTGTAATGGATTTTGTAGAGCGTGTTGAACTCTGTGATGCACTGATGGATGCAGAATCTTTCTCCTCTGATATCAGACAGCTTTTTAGGTAAACAAATATTTTTAGATATTTTATATTTTTAACTTCTCAGAATCCTTAGCTTTTTAAAAAATTTCTAGCTGCTTTTGAGGGAAGTGTTAGATGAAGGATGGCATCAGTATTTTTGGGTTATTCACTATTAAAAACTGCATTTTTGTGTTTTTTAATTTCATAAAGAGAACTATTAAAACTATTACACAGTTACAGAAAAATTGTTAACCCACTGATTGATTTTTTTTCAAGATTTATTTATTTTTAAAGACAGTTACAGAGGGCAAGAAATACACGTAATGAAATCTTCCATCTTCTGATTTACTCCCCAAATGGCTGCAATGATCGGAGCTGGTGTGGAGCTAGGAGCCAAGAGTCAGGAGCCAGGAGTCAGGAGCTTCTTCAGGCTTTCTCACATAGATTCATGGGCCTGAGGACTTGGGCATCTCTCACTGCTTTCCCAGGATGTTAGCAGAGCGCTGATCAGACATTTAGCAGCTGGGACTTAAATGGATTCTCATATGGATGCTGGTGCCACAGGTGGTGGCTTTACTTGCTATGCCACAGCACTGCCACTTTCTCCCCTCCATTGGATATTCTCAAGTGACTAATCTTTTCATTGTTTATCAGTAGTAATAAAAAGTTTGTGTACATCCTCCCCTCTCCGCCTGGGAAACAGCCTAGGCAAGTATTGCACTGCTGGGAGAAAAGCAGTTAATAACTGACAGGCATCCTGTGAATGGGTCCTCAGGCCCACCTGCGAGGTGGGTGCCACGTTCCAGAGCTGCAGGGGTGATGGGTTCAGCAGGGCCCAAATTGCCTGGCCTCGGCCCTCAGGTCCACAAGCCCTAATGAAGGGGCATAACGGGGTCCAGGTCATCTGGTCTGGGTCACCAGGTTTGCCCACACAGTGGTCAGTGAACCCTGGGGGCACAGGGGCCGGTGGGGCCAGGTTGCCTTGCCTTGTTCTTCAGGCCGACCTGTGTGGTAAGTGCTGGGTCCATGAGCCTTAGGTGGGCCCAGCAGGGTCCAGGTCACCTCGGCCTGATTCCCCAGGTCCATTTGCACCATGGGTGCTGGGTCTGTGAACCCTGGAGGGGCCCGGGTAGCCTGACCTGGTTACTCAGGTCTACCTGTGCTGTGGATGCCAGGTCTGTGAGACCTGGGGCGGCAGGGGGGCACAGCAGGGCCCAGGTCACCTGGCCTGGTTATTCTGGCCCACCTACATGGTGATGCCAAGTCCGTGAACCCCAGCAGCCAGAGGTCACATGGGGCCTGGGTGCCTGTCCTTGTTCCCCAGCCCCACCTGTGCAGCGGGTGCACCCGGGGCAGGGGGTTCAGAACGGCCCTCTGCCTGCTGCCAGCAGACTTATGGGGGTTGGTGTGTGGGATGGCAGGAAGCCTGGGGTCGGCACAGATGGGGGCTTTCAGGGACATGAGGGCGCTTGTCCTGGATTGGTGGTCTGACCACAAAGTGCATGTGTCAGAACTGGGACTCTTCAGTGGAAAAGATGGAGCAGTGGGTGGCATACCCAGATGTACTTGAAAAATATGGATGCCCATTGGGGCCTGCAGAGGACATGTGGTACCATAACAGAAGAGGTCAGAAAAAATTGGATAACTACCCCAACCCAGCAATGACAGCAAATACATGGATGAACGAAGACTGTAAGGTCGCCTATTTCAGTCAATGGATATTGGAAGGATTTTGATAGTTCATCTCAGAACTATCAAAATCACTTAAACAGAACCCTTGGAACATGCTCCACAGCGAGGACCCTGGGTTGTTATCGGTGGCCGTTCCCCATCCCTGGGGACTGGGGCGGTTGGGAGGCTGACTGTGGCTTCCCTCCTTACCTTCCCCCTTGCTCTAGATACAGGAAGAAGAAAATTTGGAAATAATGGTCTCACCCACATTCTCCTAACCCCCTTTCCTTCCCACCCTGATGAACTACATAAACATCCTCAAAAATAAAAATTAAAAACAAAAAAGGGCAGGAAATGTGCCTACTGGTGTCACTGTAAATAGTGTTGTACAATTTCACTTTCTAGCTTTGTCAAACCTGGTTGAGGATGTAACATTACTATAGTTTTAATTATCTGCGATTATTTAAATTGTAGCATTCTTTGTCTTTAAGCCTGGAATTTTACTGATCACCGATTATTTCAACTTCATTAACCTGATTCTTGAAAGAAAAAAAAAAAAAGAACTAAAGTTTAGAGCAACAACAACAAAAAAAAATAAGCAAAAGCAAACTGGGTGGGGAGAAGCTTTGATAATAGAAGCACACATAGGGACCTGTGGCATGATAGAAAGTGCTCATCATAAGGGTGGCTACAGGTGTTACACTTCAGGTACAAACTCTTGTGTGGAAGACAGCAGAGACAGACTGCATTGGCCCTGGGTACCATTTCCCCCACCCCGCCAAAAAAGTCACTGAAGGATGTTCATCACATACTGTATGCTGTACCACACACTGGTATTCACAACAAAGGGACTGCAGGGGAAGAAAACACACAAAAATAGAAAAGAAATTAGGCCACAGACTCAGTTTGGCCCATGACTGTGTTGACCCCAGGGTACAACAAACCTGGGGGACATTTATCGTCTGGCACTTGGAATCTAGACTAAGGAATGGCTGAGAAAAAAACAACTGATAACTAAGATATCAGGGATTTCGAAATTCTGTACAAAGACTGCTCTCTTACTTTCAATATTCAATGAATAAGAAAGTATACATTAGTAAAAGTTATCAATAATTAACTGTTTCAAAAATATGAATCTGACTAATCATAAGTCTCTACAATGTTTATATTCATAGTAGTTATAGACAGATGCAAATGTATTATTAAACTGACGAAGTTCAAAGCGCATGGAATTCACTGGCCCCTGAAAAATTCCCAGAATTGGGAATATTGTAGACGTGTCATCAGTTCTGAGTACCTCACACATCTTCCAGACTGAATCTCTTTAGTAATCAAAACCACCTGACACTAATGCTTATGATGACTTTAAGCCTTCTCGTACCCACAGCAAAGGGCTGAGGTCACCTGCTCCATCTCAGGGATAAGGGATGAGGCTTAGGGGCCTTCTTGACAAAAGCCTTCTTTGATCCACACAAAAGGGAAGGCTGGCAGTGGGTGGATAGTAGTGCAAGAGGGATTTTAAGTATCTGGTTAATTGTGTACCTTTGAAAAATATTTCTATTCAAAGATGGAACTGAAAAACAGGAAGGAAGGCAGAAGTCTCTAGCAGCCCAAAATAAAACTGCAGAGTTTACTGATGCTGAGTTGGTAAGATCTGGGAAGTAAGACGGAGAACAGTACTTTAAAAAAAAAAAAAAAAGGAATCATATTCTTCATTTGTCAATATAAATAACTCACAACAGGCAAGATTTCAAATGTGGCCTTGTTTGGACATGGCTGTAAAGATCCAGGCTTACAAATGAACTCTGTGAAAGTGGACGCAGCTAACAGACCAGAAGTCATGGCATCAAGAATCCGAATCGCCACCTTTTCCCGGAGGAAGACGCATTCGTCAGCACACGCTAATGCTCACCAGAAGAGGGTGAAAGTGCAGACTGTTATCTGGAGATGTATGTGTATGTTCTGGAGGGAGAGCGGGTCTCATTCTGGGCATTGGGAGGCACATTTAAGAAATCCCAAATCAAAATAGTGTCGTCGTGGGAGCTGCTGATAATCTGAAACTCATCAAACTGCAGCCGGAACACACGTCCAGAATGTTCCTAAAAAAATTAATAATAACAGCTTTGTGAATAAAATGACGTCTTTATAACCTCCCATCTCTCACAAGCTGGAAAATGCAACTGTTTCTCTACACTACCTAAACAGTCTTCCAGAACTCACTGAGCTCTGTCCTTCAACCCAACAACAACCACTGCGCTTTTCCTTCTAGTCTTCTCTTTCATTAAACTTCGTATCCTGGATTCCAATACACTCATACATCAAAGAAAAACAATGTGAGCATCCCATTAGGGCCTTAGAAAGGTAAACAATAATATTTAACAATCGTTTCTGATATACTATAAAAACTAGACCCAGAGGGTGCCTGTTTTTTTTTTTTTAAATGACTAGGAGTATCTGTCTCAAACTACCATGTCAAAATTCATGGTTAAACAGTCAATTTATATTCCAATTCAGATCAAGAGAAAAACAAGAATAGCTTCAACTTAAAACACTGCTCATAACAGCCAATGCAAAATGCAAAGACCTGGAAATCTATGGTAACATCCCTAAACTAAGACACATTTTTTTTTTTAATTACCATTTTGAAAACACTTATTTCCTCAAAAATATATCACAAACAGCCAGACCTAACCAGAAGGATACTGGTAACGTGAAAGAAGTACTCCCATATGCATAAACTACATATGTGCATAAACTAGAGACTGATGGAACATTCCACCCTTTCTTAATACAAACATGTACTGTCATAGACGTTCAAGGCTCCAGCTGCCCTGCTACTCCTTTAGAAAGAGCTCATGGAGATACAAGTGTCAAACACTGTGATTTTGGCTACATGAACTCGAAGACCAATTTCGAGATCCAGAAGCTTCCTTGTGATCCGCAAGGAAGGGCTACGTGCCAATGGCTATCTTTCAGCAAGAGGAACCAATTCCAGTTTCAGAAATCACATACCACCAACGTGCGCAAACACAGGGTGCTTGCTGGGGCCCGCGGATCCAGAGCTGCTTGTAAGTCCCAAACTTTAATTTTCCTACAAAGGAAAATGACATTGAGATTAGGAAAAAAGTTAACATTTTTCATGAACTTCTAAGTATTTCATTGAAAAAAAAAAAAAAAAAAAAGAAAAAGTACATGTGAATGGCTGGCCATTATGGAAGCTAATGGGCAACATGCCAATGGTCTACAAATTCTTTGAAACAATTACACCTTTTTGGAAAATCTGGAAGAATGATTATTTTAAGGGAGACAAAACCTGAGGTTGTGTTAGTTATGCAGTTCTGGCTTGATAAACTGTGTTGCCAACTGTGAACTAACCCAGGACCCTCTAGGTGAGAACAGGCACTGACAGAAGCTGGGGCTCTGTGTGCAACTCTGCACACAGCCTTCTCCAAATGAGCAAATGCTTGAAGTAAGCAATGAGTTTTAACAGGTCAGCTAATTAACTTAGAAAATATCTACCTGGTCTTCTTGAAAGGCCTATAGTTGCCATTTGCTCTGAAAAAGTCGTAAGATAGAGCCAGCACTGTGTCATTGCATATAAAGTTGCTGCCCAATTCCAGGGATACCGGTTTAAGACCTGGCTGCTCCAAATCCAGTCCAGCTTCCTGCTGATACACCTGGGAAAGCAGCAGGAGATGGCCCAAATGGTGGGTCCCTGCACCCACATGGGACACAGAATCAAGTTCCTGGCTCCCAGTGATCATTTGCAGAGTGAACCAGCAGATGGAGGATCCCTCTCTTTTTCTCTGCCTTTCAAGTTTAGTAAACAAATCACATTTGAAGAGGAGTCAGGAAAGGAGGAGGAGAAAGGAGAAGAGGATGAAGCAGCAGTAGCAGTAGCAACAGCAGTGGTGGTGATACTTGTTTCGAGGTGTTTCTGGACAGGGCAGGGCAGGGGTAAGAGGAGAAATTTAATATTACTGAACTTACCAAAAAAGACTGGCTTAATGAATGGTTAGCCAAAGAACTGAATTTTCCCAAAGAATATACCACTCTTCCGGTTTACAGTGATGGTTAAAAGCAGAAACTTAGGAACCACTGTGGTTCTATTACTGTGTGGCTGGGGTTATCTGAAGTTGTCTTTCTGGGGCCTCATCTGATCAACAAGTATAATACCTGGACCTGGCACACACAAGGCTGCTGAATCCTTCCTGAGGGAGTTATGACAATGCAAGCTAAGCCTGGAGACACATACCCATCATAGGCACCACTGACAATCCTCTTGTTATCAAATCGGATGCATCGGACCAATTCCTCATGTCCTTCTAGGACTCGCAAGCAGGCACCACATTCAATATCCCATAGCCTGGAAGGAAAAAACAGAGTTCTAGCAAAAACAACTTCTCTCATAATCCTCAAGTTCTTTCTGTCTATTTCACATAGAAGTGATTTTCCACTGTCCTTAACTTCTTCTAACTCACACACAGTCCATACTATGTATACAAAGCTATTTGTGTATGAGGATCCTTCAAGTCATGGACTTTCAAATCCATTCACTTTTCTAGATTATTTACATACAGAAATCACAGAAAACTAGCATTAACAAAGGGGGCTTTCTCTGGCTCTCTATGATCCGGTTGCCTGCAGCACACCTTGTTTACACAGTGATGACTAGGCAGGTAGTGTGTGTGCGCGCATGCATGCAATGTACTGGGTAAAGGTGCCTGTATTATCAGACTCCCACAAGGGAACTGGTTCAAGATTCAGCTACTCCATTCCCGTTCCAGCTTCCTGGAAAAGCACCAGAAAGGTGTCCCAAGATGGGCCTTGCACTAACAGGGGAAATCCAGAAGGAGTTCCAGACTCCTAGCTTTGGCCAATGGTCGTGGCCATTTAGGGAGTGACCCAGTAGGTAAGATTCTCTCTCTCTCTCTCATATAGATATAAACATATATCTTTCAAATAGATAAATTTTTTAAAAGAAAGAAAGAAAACAAACAAAAAAAAAGACGAATGTTTCTCTAGAGCCATTAGCACCGCCATGGGGACTCAAGCAGTACCCCATTACTCCGTAAAATCGTGAAGACTCCAACGAGGATGTTAAGGACTATTTATTGTTGAAACATTAAGCAATAGCACAAAGCATGTCAAACACAGCAGAACCAAGACTTGAGTTTTAAATCAGCTTTTGGCATAGGTATCTTAGAATTTTAAGTGATAAAACTTAGAACAGATGTTGTTTTTTCTGAAAACTTCATTCTGCTCAAACAGTAGGTAATTTGGGTTAGTCCTGTATGTAAACCTGCTGGTTTGTGTTGGAAAAGGGGGGAAATGACATGGGAGAGTCAGATATTTAGGGGATCTTAGCTAAATAGTAAATGTCTGAATTTTGAAGTGTTCCAGCATCCGGCACTCCTTACTGGAGTTGAAGGCGTAAGAGCTCTGTGTCCTAGGCATATCTGGGAAGAATACCCGGGGTGAACACTGCTTTTCCATTTAGGTATGTAGAACCAAATACACTTATAAACGTGACCTCAGGCTTTCTTCTCTGAAGCATCCCATTTATTATCAACCATTTGTGCATTAAGACGGGTAGATGAGTCAACCTTGGGGAGATAAGCCATTCTGTCAGCACACCAACTCTCACCCACCTGATGGTATTATCTGATGATCCACTGACGACCAGTCGATCCCTGTACTGCAGACAGGCAATGCCTCGCTTGTGCCCATTCAGAGTGCGAACGAATTCACAGGTACTCGTACTCCAGACCTGCAGAGCAAATTCGCAATGTTTTTAAGAATGAATGCAGAAAATTCTGAAACACACTTAGAAAAATAAAGATTTTCTGCAACTAATCCAAATATCTGAGTATAAAATACAGTCTCCTTAACTCAACATTGAAAGGCTGGGGACACACCGGACAGCACTGTCTTGGCTGCTTAGTGTTACAACTAGAGTGAGATATGGAGGGAAGCTGCAAGGTTTCCAAAGTTTAAGATCTTCACAGATACATTTCCAGAATGGTGCAGCCACTCATTTGCCTAAGGGAAGTGGTTTGGGTCAGATTTTACACTTTTGTGTCAGCTGATATGTCAAACCCAATGTAACTGGTAGAGAAAGTGCTTCACCTTTCATACCCTCCTCTTTTTCACCACAGTTCTTTTTCCAGTGTTATTTATTTTTATCTAACTGAAAGGCCAAGCTTCTGTGGCCACTGGAAAATGAACTGGTAGACTGAAGACCTCTCTCTGCCTTTCCCTCTTTCTATGACACTCTTTCACAGAAACAAAATAAACCTTTTTTAAAATTTGTGAAAAGGAAAGCCCATATAATGAGGTAGAATCATTTACAAAATATGTACCTGATAAGGATCTTGTATCCAGAATACATAAAGAACACTTAAAACTCAGTAATAAAAAGTCAAACTCCCTAATTTTTAAAACAGGCAACAGATTTAGACAGACATTTCTCCAAAGATGATATGTAATTAAGTCAATAAGCACATGAAAAGATAGAGGATACCACCAGTTATTATAATAAACAAAGCAAAACCAGAAACCCTTGTACATCTACGGGTCAGACACAACAAAAAAGACAGGTAACAACAAGTGTCAACAAGAATGTGGAGAAATCCTCCAGCTGATATCATCAGACATCTGCTGTGGCAATGAGGCCCAGGCCGCCTTGGACATCCAGGCACTGGTCCTGTACTCACTGCTGTGACTACAAAGTAAATCAACACATGTAAATCCTAGCTGTTGAGTTTCCAGACCACTCAATCCAAAACTTGACGCAACACAGCCCACGGTTTGTGGGGCTAGGTATCAGAATATTGTCTAGCACTGGTCATTAAGAGACAATTTTTTGAACAAGTTGAAACCTTCAGATACCACTGGCATGTTTGTGAAATAGTGCAGCCATGCTGGAAAACAGACAGGTAGTTCCCCAAAACATTAAACACATCCCAAGAGAACTGAAAATACACAAAAATGCAATAACTGTATACAAATGTTTACAGTAGCATTATTCATAACAATAAAACAAAACAAAACTTGAAGCAACCACAAAAGTCACATATGAGGCTGCATTATCATGAAATGTCTAGAACATTCTGTCTCCACAGAGACAGGTGTCAAGGAGGTGACTGCCAGGGGCTAGGAGGACTGGATGGGGACTGCGGTGTATGGATGTGAAGTTTTTGAGATAAAAACACTTCAAAACTACACAGTGATGATTCTAAACACTGTAACTGAGCTGAAAGGTTACTAAAGTGTAGATTCCAAAATAATGAGTATTATGGTATGGAAATTAAATCTCAGTAAATCTGTCATAAATATGGAAGACAGAAGAATTTTGAGAAGTTCACCTGGAATCAGATTTGCAATGACCATATCCTATGGACCATTCCAGTCTACAACTGCTTGTCCCATGTCGGTCTAGCTTTCTGAAAGCATGCGTGGGTCCTATTGACCACATCTCCAATACCCAGCCCAAGGTCTATGGCAAGACATGTTCTCCAACCCCTGAAATACCTCGTTTCTGGGCCTACAACATCTTCCCACCTAGCCTCACTCTGTATATACCTAGACAGGAAGGTTGAAAGGGTTCTCCTGCATAGATGTAGGAGAACAAACATCTTGCCATGTACTAGGCTGTCTCTATTTTCTCTCTGGTCTAAAAGAGACAAAAGCTGGAAGGGCTGTGACTACAGACACACTTACTTTGATGGTCCTGTCACCGGAAGCAGATACAATGTACTTATCGTCAAAGTCTACTACGTTGACAGCAGCGCGGTGGCCAACCAGGACACGGCGTAAAGTGATATCAGTGGCCGAAGCCATGTCCCACACGGCAATGGAGCGGTCCTTAGAACAAGTCACCATCAGTCCGTTGCTAAAGCGTAAGTGCAGCACAGCCTCATTGTGGTGGATCAGCGTGTTGAGAACTTCACCTGTGTTCACATCCCAGACTCTGGTTGAAAAGAGAAATGTAAGATGTCTAATTTCTGAGAAAGCAAGGAAAAGATTCAAGTGCCTAAAATGTAAGTTTATTCTTTTTCTTTCATTTTTTTTTTCCTAGAGAGATAGATGAATAAAAAAGCTCCCATCTACCAGTTCACTCCCCACTTGCCTGCAATAGCCAGAACCAAGAACTGGTAACTCAGTCTAGGCCTCCCAAGCATGTGGTGAGGATGCACTTATTTGAGCCATCACTGTCTGCATGACAAGCTTAAGTCACAAGGTAGAACCAGAAATCGAATCAGCACTCCAATGTGTGACACACATCTTAACCTCTAGGCTAAACACCTACTCCTTTGTGTCCATCTTTAACATACCCGGTACAAGCTTAAAAGGAGCCCCCAAAACAATTTATTTGCTGAGAAGTGTTGGGATGGTTGACTTGAAAGTCAGGTATTCAGTGACAATGTAGGCTCAGGCTGACAGCTAATGATTCCTCAGCAAAGTAGACTTTGCACTGAGTGTGAGATGACCGGAAGCAGGAGGTGTAATGGCTGAGGAGCTGAGTACAGTGCTGAAATCACTTAAGCTCTTACTGACGTCTACCAGACCTCCAGGGCTCTCCAAGACTTACACTGCAACTTGGAAACTAGACATCACGATGTCTCATCCATCACCACACCCATTTCTGTACTCAAAATGAGTCTTCTAACTGCTTCATATTTGAAATGCTAGGTTTTGGGGCATAGTCTTCCCCACAGCCTATCTCTTCTGTACCTCCAACCCTCAAAAGAAGTTCACGTCTTACAGAAGGGAAGGCTCAGACCTCTGAGACTGAGATGTGATTTCTGGGAGAAGCAGCAGCCTGGAGTCAAGGGCGGGAAGGAGATCCTTGCCTGCTGTGAGCCAAGACTCAGGGAAGTCCACAGGGATCAAGGAGAGGAGTGAAAGATCAGAGAACATGGAGACCTGGAGAAAGGCTTACAAGAGGCGGAATTTCTCCTCAAGCCCCCTGCACAGCAGCAAGACAGCCCAGCTGAGATAGTATTCAAAGACCTCTACTTAGAAAGATTCATCACTACACCCAACTCCAAAGCTGGAGGAAGTCATCCTTGAGCCAACAGCACAGGAGTGGATCTCGGTAATATTCCTTTTCTACTCTTTTGACCTTCAACTAACTGTCACTGCTCTCCTTCCAAGAAGGAATGCTGCCATTTTCATCCTTAATACTCCTAGATGACACTGAAAACTGAATTTTCCATTACTGGTAAGGCATAGTTTTATCCAATAGCAATTTGAGGTTCAAACTGTACCAGCTATGTGAATGTGCAAATTAGTTTGCCTGTCTGGCTGTGGTGTCCTAATTCATCTATGAAAATGAAGCCACTATCTACTAACTTGGGAAGAGATGGAATGAAAACCTAATAGTGTGATATTTTACAAAATACCTAACCAACCATCTATCTGGCTTTTAGATTTCACTCTTCCTAGAGTTTCTCAAAGCTTCGGCAATCTGTGGCAAGATGTCTCAAATGCTGCTGGGGAGGCCCACCTCTCCTGTCAGATAGACTGGGTTCCAATCCTGGCTTTTCCTGCTATTGGGTATCCTGGGAGGCATCGGGTGATGGCCCACGTACTTGGGTCTCTGCCACCCACAAGATACAGATCGAGTCCTGGCCTCCTGGTTTCAGACTACCTGATCCTTGGTTATTGTGGGCATTTGGGGAGTGAACCAATAGATGAAAAACTTCTCTCAGTCTCTCTCTCTCTCCACTTTACAAATAAAATGGAAGTAAAATCTATTAAATACAGCAAGTAAAAGCAATAAGGTGTGTGTGTATACTTGTGCGTGCACATGCATGCCAATACCAGAACATGTAATTCGCAGTCTCCTTATGGAAGTCTTACGAGTTCAGGGCATCAAGTCAAGATCACTTACCTTACAGTAGAATCTGAAGAACCAGTTACAATAACACGCTCATCATACTGCAAGCAAAGGACTGAACCTGTATGTCCTGTTAACACTTTTAAACATTCAAGGCTCGTTTTATCCCAAATCTGTTGAGACAAGATCAATCACAAATGACAATTTAGTACATCATATCTTATGTTACTGTCATATTTTATGAGCTCGATCAAAAAAATAAAGCACACTTTATTTACAGCCTAACTACTTTTACTTCCCATGACAACGCTAAACCCTCCCCTCCCCCGCAATACCCCCGTACCCGTCAGTAAAATATCAAACATGGGAAATGACAAGAAAGAACAGGACAAGTGAACTGAAAATTTAGGTTCCCATGTAACACATGTGGCTTTATCAGTACTGTCAGAAACTGAAAACCACACAAATATACCTGAACAGCTAAATGTTTAGCACCCAAAAACACTACTCAGCCATTAAAAAATAACAGGATGAAACCATTACTATGCCCAACACAGACTAATTTCAAACTCACTTTATTAAGCACAGGAAGCCAGACTCAAGAATCCATTACAGGGGGGCCCAAAGCAATGTATCAACTGGCTCAAGTCCTCGCCTTGCAAGTACCAGAATCACATATAGGTACCAGTTCGTGTCCCAACTGTTCCATTGAGCTCCCTGTTGATGGTCTGGGAAAGTAGTAGAGGATGGGTCAAAGCCTTGGGACCCTGCCCCCACGTGGGAGACCCAGAAGAACCTTCTGACTTCAGATCAGTTCAGTTCTGGCCATGGGGCCATTTGGGGAGTGAACTAGTGGGTGAAAGATCTTTCTGTCTCTCTTTCACTTTGTAAATCTGCCTTTCCAATAAATACGTTTTTAAAATATTTCATTATTTGCACAGAGGTGGAAGAAGCTGCTGGTTTCTGGCTTCTGATCAGCTCAGTTCCAGCCATTGTGGCCATTTTGGGAGTCAATCAGTGGATGAAAGATCTTTCATCTCTCTTTCTCTCTGTAAATCTGCCTTTCTAATGAAGATTTTAATAAAACAAAAACTGAGGGTGGGGTGGTGAGGACAGGTGGCCATGACCAGGTCATTTGGCTATTACACTTCTAGCCCCTGTGTGTCTGCTTTAAGTAACCTTCCTGTACGTATACCACAATTCAGTTCTTTAAAAACCCAGAAGCGCTCTTAAACAGACAAAATAATATAGAACAGAATCTGTCAAATCAGCCATCAAGAGATTAAATATTGAGAAAATGGACAGGTAAACTAGTCATACTCTGACTAGCTAGCAAGGTAGCAAAGCCTTTAGATACTGAGATATTTTCTGGTTATATCTAGATGCAGAATACAGAATATCAGTGTCCCAGAAGGTAGACAAGCAAGGATCCATGATTTAGTGACACATAAAAACTAATCATTAAATGAAAAGGCTATTACAACATCTAACACCTAATCACCATTCTAAAAATGCTACGTATAAAATGCTGTCGCACTTACCTTAATGGAATTATCTCGTAGGCCACTGATAATTTTTTCATCATCATACTGTAAACAGTAGACACCTTTACTATTTTCAGAGCGACACTGAATCCTCTGCAAGTTGTGTCTGCCACACCGCCAATTAGATTCTATAGTCTAGTGGGGAAAAAAAAGGAGACAAAATGATTTTCTGTGAACCAACTCTTCTACTAGGTTTCAGAATTTGGCACTGCTTCCAGAAACAGCATACCACTGATACCCCAATCTTAGTTTGCATAAGTGTCTGTGGATAGGAACTGTGCCCTTTTCCAAGTTATATATGAGCCCACCAACTTTTTTCCTTTAACTTTCCCTGTTCTTCTGGCAACTATAATAGAATTTCCAATGAGTTTTAGGTTAGGTTTGAAATAGCTCAGAATTCAATATGGTTGAAGACTGCCATTTGCACCCAAAACATACAAATAAATAATAACTCACTGGGTCACTCCTTAATTTCAATTAAAATATTTGGCAAAATATTGTAGCCATCATTAAGCATACTCTGACAAACCACGTATCAAGTAAAGCATTGTCTTGAGCACTGAGAAAAGATATTGAGCAACAACTACATGCCAACTACATAGGAAGAATTTTATCTGTTATCAATCTCCCTCCAGACAAAAGCTGCTTTAGAGTAGTAAGACTAGAAAGTGCCAGCCTTGTATTTTCATTCTTTCTTTTTTATACAACTTTTCCTAAAATGTTATCGAATGCCAACTGGGAATAAAAAGAGCAAAAGGAAGTACACTGCACTCCAAGGAGGCACCAGTCTAGATCTAGGGACACACGGCACAGATACGTGATCACCGACTTAAGGTGACGGTGCAGCTTCCGAGTTCGCAATTTTCCAATAGTGCAAAAGCAGTGAGTTCAACAGAAAGCAAACTTTGAATTCTGATCTGTTTCTAAGCTAGCAGTGACACATGACTCACTTGTGCACTGCAGGCACTGGTGACACACCCACTTTCCAGGCAACTGTGCAATCATGGGGCCAGCACATTTTCAACTTAGAATATTTTCAACTTAAAATGAATTTATCAGGATATAAGCCTATCAGAAGCTGAAGAACATCCATACTCTAAGTTTATTTGGCAAAATGTGTGCAATCAACTTAGGAGAAGTTATTGTTTCCATTACACAAACAATTACAAAGACTCACTCAGTTTATCCCAGGTTACACAATTGTTAACTGGACTAGCCAGAAATCACACCCAGTTTCTCGTGACACTGAGCCCAGGCTTTCTGCTACTACCATACTGAATGCCTACATGCAAGAGCAGTCCTCGTCTCTGAGGCTGTAAATGTAAGATGTAAGATCAGTGCTAATGCCAGATAAAACAGGAGTGTAAGTGTCAAATGAGTGATAAAAATTCTAAATGCGGCAAGATCTCACGGCGACCAAGAGACCATTGGGTGGCCTGAAACCATTGGCTGAAGTGTAATGAGGAAGCAGTTCATGCCCAGGGCACTGCAAAACTTAGGCTCTGGTAAAGACGCAAGGGATTTTTCAGAATCAAAAGATTCAAACACTCTTCTAAGAATAACCAATGTCTGAATTCCTGATTGTTGAAATTAGGGATCAGCAGGGACCATAACTGGTAATACTTCAGAATATAATCGGAGTAGCTAGAAGCTGAATGACTTGCTTTGCTTTGTTGAAGAAAGGAGATGAACCCCATTTTTGTTCAGAACAAGCACTTTACTTAATCTGCTCTGCTGGTATCTAACCATATTTCCTCATATTTTTAAGGCTGTAAGCATCCATATGTTGTAAAACGTTATAATTTACTAACGCTATGTGCCAGGCACCACGATTTCCTCATACTGTGCTGTATATTACACACAGCTGTACCTCAGCATCCGGGGGGAGTGGGGAGTTGGTTCCAGGATGCCGGCAGATACCAAGACCCCCAGATGCTCAAGTTCCTTATGTAAAATGGCATCCGGATCTCCTCCCACATACCTTAAATCATCTCTAGGTGATTTATAACATCAGATCCAGTGTGAATAACTGTCATACCGTATTGTTTAGAAAATGACAGGGAAAAAACTCTGCACATACTCAATTCTGACATGGGTTTGTTAGTTTGTTCTTTTCATTTTCTCAGCTCCCCAGTTGTTGAGTCCGCAGCTGTGGAAGAGGCACACCGAAGGGCTGACTAAATCCTGCAGCAAAGCTTCACCAGTCTGAAGCAGGGACAATTGGCCACATCACAGGACAAGAAATGAAGTGTTGCAGATACTGGCCATCTTCATGCTTTAGAAGCCATCGCTATGTGTGGCTCTACGAAACACAAGCTCTGCCCTGCCCTCTAAGAGCTCCCACACAGTCTCGCAGTACGGCAGTGTATTCCTAACACCCAAAGTGGGCAAGGAGGCATACTGAAGATGCCAGGAGTCCAAATGCTACCACAGCAGGACCTCCTCTCCCGGGTCACCATCTTTAGTGAGCTGATAAAATGTCAGATGGATAAACCACATGTACAAACCAAAACAATCAACTGACCTCCATCTGTTACCCTCAGGTAGGTAACACATGCATCAATAGAAATAACTTTTTAAACTGGTTTCAGAAAACAAAGAACCTCTCCCATAGAATTCCAAGTGTGGAGTCCCTGGGAGAAGTGATGTATTTTTAGGCAGTGACCGAGCTACCTCAGCATGCTAAGTATCCTGGGAAAACGCTGACTCAGGAGGTTGATGTCCTAGGAGTCGGTCTAATTCCTGGCCAGGGATCTTGGCACTGGTTTCCCATGCGCAGCTACACCCTCTGGAGATCCACAGAGCCGCTACAGAAGTAGCCTGGCTGTGAACAAACCCAGCGCCTGACAAAGATGAATACAGCGCCTGTCCTACACATTTAGCAGGTGTGGAATATTTACATTCCTACAGGTGTTTCCGGGTGTAAAACATAGACAACTGCTTTAAAATGTTATTGAATCCGTAAGAAGCTCTACCACTCTGTATATTCTGATACATTATCACACTTGGGGTAATTTTTTATTTTAAAAAGAGAGGCAGATTGTTTATACTGCAATGTCAGGACACCCTTGACTGATGGACTGATGGACTTATGACTGCTTATGAAGGACTATACTATTCTAATGATATGGGGGAAATCAATTGTGGGGAGGGAATTTGGAGAGGTGGTAAGGGAAATCCCAGAGCCTATTGAATTGTATCATAAAATTTAAAATAAAACAGAAGGATAAAAAGGGGAGAGCAGAAGAGTCTCCCTAATTGAAAGCTTTCGCTCTGCACTGCAACTCGGTAACCCGGGCACAGCTTTTACTGTGCTCAAGCCCTGGAGATGGGGCAGAGCCAGAGCAAAGCCACACGCTGTGAGATGTCTGCAGAGAACAACGTCACAGGCAGAGCCAGACCCTCTCCTCTAGCCTCAGACAGGAGCGGGGGGACAGAACCTCTCCAAGTCAGACCCAGACACTGCGGCCTTTCATTCTAAGCTGAATGAAATCAGATGACTTTACTGACAGGTACTGCTGGACAGCCTCATTTTTTGAAAATGTCTCTAAATTCCTTCTTTTTTATAATAGGTTGTCAAATAGTTCTTGGTGGGTCATTGTAGGAAGTGTCCCCTTAGGGTTGTTTTAAAAAGCAGCAGGTTTTCAAATCACAAGACACGAGTGGCTTGCTGTGAAAAGCCCTGGGGGTCACACAGAAGCGGGCCGGGGAGCAGAGGACACTGCCATGCACAGCTGCGGGGCACCCTCCCCTGCCAGGGCCACCCACACAAGAAGGCAGCACTTCTTGCTGACTGTGCCTGTGCCAGGACTCAGACTGTCTGAGTTGGAGTGGCAGTTTGTAGTCTCTTCTCTAAAAATGGGAATAAGATCTCCTCTTTCAAGACCATTGTAAGATGAGATTATGTCTGTAAAGTATGCATCGCCGGGCCTATGGGGGACACGGACCAAAAACAGTGGGCTCTAAGCAAAAGATAGCTTCTCGCCAAACTGCCAGGAACTGTTGTCCTTGTCTAGGCTGGTATTTAAAGCTGATATGCTGCACCCTCCCTAACCGTTCTCAGGAAGGGGCTCAGCCCTCCAAAGGAATGCAGCTATTAGTAGCAGCAGTGGGAGCCCAGGTCGTGCACAGGTGCACCTCTTTAACTCCGAGGATACCTGCCATTTCACTTAGCCATCAGGTAGGACCGGCTACTGTGAGGGGATATTTCATGTTTTTGAGAACTTGTAAAATCCCCTTACCCTGCGCAAATTTTCAAAATACTGGGAAAGTAGCCATGATACACAGAGTATACAGCAGCATTTAAATTGGCAATAGAGTGAAAACAGATGTCTGAGTATGGAGAAATAACATTATTTTTAGAAGCCTAAACACAACTGGGTGGGTGGGCAGGCAAGTTTCGGCATTTTCTGGTCAGGACAATGTTAATATCAAGCTTGCAAACCACAAAAAAGCTCCCCACTTTCCCCGAATAAAATGTGGTTTATTAAAAGGTGCGATACAACACACCATCATTTTCCCAGTGCTCTGTTCCAAGGAGAGCACTTCCCAGGCTTTTTCACCTAGTGAGTAAGAATGGGAAAAAGTCTGCTCATGACGGAGTTTGTCACTTCTTTAAAATGGCCAGAGAGGAAGACCTCCAAGATCAGGACACCAGGACTCTGAGGCTACTAGAGAAAACTTCCGTCTTCGTTGAAGGATGCTCGGTTAGAGTGAAAAGAATGTGGGTTTGGAGGATGAATCTCCATTTCTGGATACAGGATTAAATCACCATAGCAAAGCACCGAGCAGAAGCTCGCCATTCATAATGCTTGGGCAACAAAAGTTCCAGGTAGAAAAGAAGACTGCTGCCTTTCAGAGTAAGCCTCGGGTTTTCCAGGAACTTCTTCCCAATTCAGAGGCCCTGTAAACCCTGTTTGTGTGGCAAGAACACCCAGGAGAGATGCACTTCACACCAAGCTATGGACAGATATTTTCTCTGCCCAGACTTCACTTCTCACATCCCATTTCCTGAGTAACAGGAGTTGGTCACACGAAGCCAGTCTTCTCTACGTTTCCCTGAAATATCAGCCACTTTCTGGTGGGTCAGTGTGGAAGGGCCAGTTCAGACAGGAACATCTGCTTTGCGTTCATCAGCACTAATCTGGCAATGGATGCATTCGGAGCTGCCAGCATATAAACCAAGCTGTCAAGGTATCGGAAGAATAAAAAGAAGGTGTTGTGAACTGGCAAACTTAAAGCTGTGTCTGGGCAACAATTTTGAGCAGGGGGACATTAAACCACCACACGATGCTCAGATATAAGTAAACTTTTGCCAATGCACTTAAAACCCTTTAAAGCACTGCTCTAGCCATAACTGCATTAAACCAAGGCCAGCTACTACCATCGTAAACCATATCCTCTTTTCAGCTGATATGCCAGGACACACTCATTAAAAATGAAAAGACTGCCTTGAAATGCTGTAGCATGAAACACCATGGCTAACTCTCCCTCACTCCTTGAATTTTCCACCATTCTCAGCCTACAGCTAGCCAGACCTCAGCTAATTTGTTTGAAAAGTTAACTACGTAGCAATCTCTAAAATGTCTTCTAGTTCCAGCTTGTGGCATAGGGCTCAGAAGATGATGTTTGTAAGAGGTATATGCTACGGGCCCAGCGTGATGGCCTAGTGGCTAAATCCTGACCTTGTATCTAACAGGATCCCATATGGGTGCCAGGCTCATTTCCTGATTGCCCCACCTCCCACCCAGCTCCCTGCTTATGGCCTGGGAAAGCACCAGAGAACAGCCCAAAGCTCTGGGACCCTGAACGCACATGGGAGACCCGGAAGAAATTCCTGGCTCCTGGCTTTGGATCAGCTCAGCTATGGCCATTGTGGCCACTTGGGAAGAGAACCAGTAGACAGAAGATCTCTCTATCTCTCCTCTCCATATATCTGCCTTTCCAATGGAAAAAAAAAATTAAGGAATTATAATTATACACTGCACAGGAAGACTTCATGTCAGCCACAGGGCACACCCATGCCCACATGGGCCCTTCATTTGTCTGAGGCCAGGATCCCCTGATTTTTTGGAACCTCAGTTTCATCAACCTTAAATAAAATCTTAGCCCAACGTTCACATTCTGCCCAGAACATTAAATGTGAACACTTAGAAAAGGATCTGCCATTAGTAAAGTGCTCTATCAATATTGCTATTAGTGACTATATCAAAGTATAAACACCAACCCTTACACTAGCGATCTAGCCCACAAAAATCTGGAGGCGACTCTTGTGGCCAACCACACTTATAGAAGCACAAGTAGACCACCGTGATGTGGAGTTTTGGTGTCAGGGTTTTCCCCCGTAGCTTTGCTTCCTTTCACATCTGTCTCCTCTACTAACTTTAAAATGTTATTTCAGCCTGAGGAAATGGTTATGGTAAGTGGTGTCACATACTGTCACGCCACAGAACACTGAGCTCATACTATCCACTAGAATACTAGTCCTGAGGACTACATAAAACTATTGAGTTTAACTTGATCATGCACCTTCCAGAGTCCCTGTTTACTAATGATTGTTTTAAAATGTGACTCTCAAGATATGTAATTCAAGGAAATCTAGAGAGATTTTGTTCATTCTAATCCTTCAAAAAGAACAGGGTTGGTGTTGGTGTAATGGCTCAACTGGCTAACCCTCTGTCTGCAACAGCCCACATGCCAGATGGGTGTTTCATGTCTGGCCTTTTCCGCTTCCCACCCAGCTCCCTGCTGATAATCTAGAAAAGAAAGAGAGGATGGCCTAAGTCCTTGGGATCCTAAACCTACATGAAAGACCTGGAAGAAGCTCATGGCTTGCAGCTTTGGATTGGCTCAGCTCTGATCATTGCAGCCATTTGGGGAGTGTTATTTCAGATCTTCCTCTCTGTAAATCTGCCTTTCCAATTAAAAAATAATAACAACAATAGCAAAATACAGGGTAACATAACTTCTAAGATGTGTACCCCAGCAATGCCTTCTCCTTTGAAACACATGCACACCAGTCTATGGCTCACCTAATTCTGAGGGAGCAATTTACTCTACATTTTGATTTGTCAGTGGATCATTTAATTCTCAAATTGTCTGGCAGAAGTTTCAAATTATTCAACTCTCCCTACAAGGTGACCTTATGGGTCATTTTGGAGAACAGAATACTCAAGACAAGGGCACATGATGTTTTAAATGATATCCCAGCCACATCCAGATTTACCATTAAGGGAAAGATTCCATTAGTTCACATCTGCCTGAGAAGGGGGTTGGGGAGGGGCGACTCCAAAATGCACATGTTCCTCCATTAATGAATTTTGGCACAATAACTTTTATGTCTATCACCTGGGGGAGAGGATTACTTCACATTTGGGAAACTGAGTATAATTTTATGGGCGATACAGCACTGCCTAGCAAAGGCTAAGCTTTTCTGCCAAGGAGGAAACAGTGAAGTAACCAAGACCTGCCAAGAACACATGTGAAAGAGTTAATGAGAAATGCCTGTGCATGTCTTTCCTGGTTCAAGGAAAAGGGCTGAATAATAAAACTGAACTAATTAGAACACATGAACAATATCAAACATCTCCAATGTTTCTCATCAAGTTTACAGAGTTTTACTGGTCTGGTGAAGTTACACTCAAATCCACAATGGTCCAGGAGCATAATTTGCTCCATAAAACCCACTTAATTATTGCTTAGAATAATTTCTGAGCTATTTTCATGAAAAACCATGGGAAATACACAGAGGAAATGACCTAAGAACATGCTTTCTCTACTTCTCGAGAGATGATACAAAAACATAATACCATGTTTACTTAAAAAATCCTGGGCCCTGGATTCTGGAAAATTCCTTATATTTGAATAAAATGCTGTGAATTATGGCATGCAGAAATATTTTGTGTTTTAGAAAAGTTAGACATCTTTTGTAGAAGACAGGGTCTACTCTGAAGAGTGAACAGCTGCAGATTATACCTCGTAACACGCGTACTTCAAAAAATCAATTTTTCAAAAATTACTGATTACATCTAGAACAAAGAACAATCTAAGGCAACATGTAAAAGTCAGAACATACACAAAGAGCCACTAAAACAGATAAGCCATAAAGTTACCTCTATATCCTGGATAATCTTTGGGTATAATGACCTATAAAATGAATTGGGAGGGCCATCTGTGGGTCTGTTCTTAAACAGGTATTGATCCCTGGGAAATAAAAAGAAATAGACGTCACATTTTTACGCAGAAAGGTAAGTTTCATTTAGGCATAGTGCTTATACAGTTTACCTCTTATGTCTTTTAACTTGCTATGAGCTCTAGTCGCTCGAAAGCATAATTCCTGACAAACGTACACATGAAATACAAGTTCAGTTCAATTCTGTCATAAACTGCTTCCTAAAAAGAGAATGGCCCTAACCCTCACGTTCCCACTCCGGTACCCCGGGCTAGCTCTTCTTTTCTCTGTGACAGCTGGGCCAGGCCCCTTGACGTGCATGCAGCTTAAAGCTGCATTAACTTCATGGATATTTTTTTCCTTTTAAAACACCCACTGTAACCTACAGCCTCAACATGGGGCAAGCAAAAGAGCAGCCCAAGACTCACTCAGCTACTGTCTTATCTAATTTTTTGACAATCTTTTTTTAACCTAAGGAAAATGTGAAGAAGAAACATAAATGCATGGCTCTGCAAGGTTAATTTGACCATTCCAACTACACAAAACTTCTTAACCACTCATTTGTATAAACATTTCAGAAAGGGAAATTCTAGCATCTAGCATTTTTTTTTCCTTTACTTCCACTCTTGGCCACCCACTTTCTCCTTTGCTTACAATAGGTCAACACATTTGCGAATGTAATTGCCTTTGTAACCACCCGCCCCTATATTGGAGAAGTGTTGTTCAATGGAACAAGCAGCCCGTACTTACCACCCTCTTCTTTCCGAAAGGCCTTTCCATAGAGGGTCGGTTCGTACCATTCGCTCAATCAGTTTCTTCCAAAGCATTCCTTCGGAGATGACTCGTTGCCACTCTTTGCACACCAGCTCCGCTGCACACAGAGACCTGGCATCCAGGTAGGAAAGAATGTTCTCTGCTATGTGATCTAAGCCTTGTTCTGCAAAACAGAGAAACAATGGGCAGGGAAATGCAAATGTGTCAGTCTTCATTTTCTCGACGAAATCTGAACTGGGTAAAATATTTAAGTAAATTCAAGATCTTTGAATTATATATAAGTGTGTGAGTTCATAAACCTATACAGTTTTTTGATTCTGATGTTTGTTTTTTTAATAGAACTGCTGATGACAATTCACTATATGTAAAAGCTGGCTGTGGAAAGTTCTTTATATTCCCCCCAATTATGCTCTCTGGGAATCATTTGGAACTAAGCAGACTTAGTAAAAAGTGAAGCACTGGCCACTCTTCTAAAATGTATAAAATGTTACATGGCAACCTAAGGATTAAAATCAGTTGTGCTGATGTGTGCATTTGTCAACCTTCTCACCTTTTACCTCCCTCTTGTGGAATCCACTTTCTGTTCCTAAATACCCTCAAAAAATCCTCAAAAAGCAATAGCACAAGTCTATGAGATTGCCAACTTCACACGTTGTTGGGTTCAACCGTGCACACAATACCAGGGTCCTCTCAGAGCTGACCATTCAGGAACCGGCCTCTTCCCAACACTCACAATGGGAAGGAGGTTAGTGTGGGCAGGCCCAATCCATGTTTCCAGACATGGCCTCGGTAGCTGCAAGAAATGAAGCTTACCCCCAAGTGTACTCTGCACAGAACATAAATACAGTCATGAAATTCCCACTTGACACCCCAAGTTCACCATGTGGTAGATCTAGGACATGCAACACATACTGAAACATCCCTGGGCCTCAATTTCCCACCACATAGAATGAAAATAACCAGTAACCATTATCCTGTTTTGGAAATTGTTTAATGTAATATGGTAGCATTAAACCTGATGTTGAAAGACAACAATGAAACTAAAACATTAAGACCTGTTTCCTCATCTGAATTGCATGGAGATGATAACCTCTGTCCTATTTTAAGACAATGCATGAAAACCCCTTACAAATGATGACTTTCTTCAACTGTAACAATGATTCCTGCCTTACTGGTCATCATGGTTTCCATACACTGACTTTCCTTCTCTGGACTGAATCTAATGCCCAAGCTACCCTGAAATATACTGGGACAACTGCCCATTGTTGTCATGGTCACTGTATTACAGTTAGTGCCTTGCCCTCATCTGACAGTCATATCACAGCCAACTCTGAAGATGACAGTAAGAAAAAAAAAAATCTTGAGCTTCTCTCCACCTGCACTGCCAAACACTTCCCACCAATCCTGCATCTGCACAGCTAATTGGAAAAATACGAGACAGCTTCTTCCATTTTATATGTATCCTCATTAGAATCTACCTTTGAAGCTTTATTGATCTAATCCATTCATTTCCTACTCTAGAATTCTGACGTTCATCATCCAGAAGAATGGTTGATTCACACCACATGATGGGCAGGGGTGGATAGTCTCTATGAAGCTGTAGACACTAAGTGGGTCAGAACCAAGGACAGCACCCCATACACTAGCTATTTCCCTCCAGGCTATTCATTAACATTCAAGGTTACCAGCATTGAGCCACCAGCTCAGTAACCACATGGGTGTGCTGCTTCCCAGCCCAGATCTCCCGTACTCGGTCCCAGATGGTACCGAGAACCTGGGCTGAATCTTGGTTTTGTCAACTACTTGTAGAGTAAGCTTAAACAAATCAATTTTCCTATCTGATCTCAAGCTACTATCATGACAGAATGATATTAAATACTTGCAATGGATTATCACATAAAACCTACACAATAATCCTTTAAGATTAACACTCTTAATATCCTTACTTTTCAATTTTTCGGGAAGATGAGCCAGATGGGTATGCACCAAACACAGGTAGTTATTACATGTCTGCCTGTTTCCCTTTGCTCCCCTCAGACCCACTTCTCAGATTACAGAATGTTCAAGACTAAACTGTATTCTTTCTTATTTTCTGAAGAGAAACCGGTGCACATCTCTTCCAGCAAAAAGCTAAGTGGCATCTATCACCTTGGTCTAAAAACCTCACATCCACTCAAACGGCTGAGAAGAACAGAGACTGCACAATTTCTACTTGGGTACATTAAAACCCCCAGAAGTCTCCGGGTCTTGCAACTTTCTAGTTTCAAACCCTTCAGGGATAAAGAGGTTCCCAAATAAACTGGTTCATCTGCCTGAGCTAAAAAAGCGTTTTGAGGTGTTAACACCAGATATTTTCGCAAGTGTCTGGCTCTCATTACTCTACCATGCCGAGACAACTCCCACCCACCTCACCCCCACCATCTTCCGCCACCACCCCTTTCCCAAGGCAACAAGAGCACAGACACACTGTGGCCTCAGAAAATGGAGACCATAATACTGCACACACAGCACTGAGGCAATACTGCTGGTGCCAATTACGGGCACCAGATGAAAGTCTGGAAAAATTTCAATAGTAAATTAAAACAATTAAAAGTCACCAATTTCAAAGCTCAATATGTAAATAACACTATATCAAAATGGACTTCAAATGTATGATGTCAGCTCAGTGCCCTTGACTACAGCTAGTTCTGACACAGCCGCTTAGATCACACAATTCCAGAAACTTTTAGTATTTCAAAAACACATTTCAAAGAGCAGCTGCAAAGAAACTTCCTTTTCCACCCACTCCTGCTCTCCCTTCCCCCTCCCCCATCATAGATCTAGTTGTAAAACCTCAAATTAAAAACCTTTGAAAGGAAAACAGCACAGACACAGTTGCTGATAGCAACAGTCAGTGGAGTCCTTTCACTTGGAACATTACCAACCCAAGGATTCAGTACAGAAATTAGTGAGGGACCAGTGCACTGGCTCAACAGGCTAATCCTCTGCATGCAAGCACCAGCACACCAAATGGGCAGCTCGTGCCTCAGCTGCTCTACTTCCCATCCAACTCCCTGTTTATGGCCTGGGAAAGCAGCAGAGGTCGCTCAAAACCTTGCATAGGTGCACCCACATGAGAGCCCTGGAAGAAGCTCATGTCTCCTGGCTTTGGATTGGCTCAGCTCCAGCTTTTAAGGCCATTGAGCGAAGTAGCAGATGGAATATCTTTCTCTGTCTCTCCTTCTCTCTGTAAATTTGCCTTTCCAATAAAAATAAATAAATCTTTAAAAGAAAGCTAAAGAGAGAAAGAAAAGAAGGAAAAAAAGGGAGGGTGGAAGGAGGAAATAAATCGCGTGAGAAGAGCTCAGGACACAACGTCAACATACTCATCCAGGAGCCCGAGCAATAGGGTGGCACACGCCCCTGCATGATGGGAGGGTCAATCAACTCGGGACTAGTGAGGGAATGATTCAAACGACCCGGCAGTTAGTTTGCAGTGCCTCAGAGAAGCAAGTGTTTCCGGTCTCTGGGCTTTTCTTTTAGAATGCCATTCTCGGGGTCCCACCAGATGCCTGGCACGTTACACGTGTTCTCTTACATCTTCGCAGGATCTCAGGCAGTGTTACTACTCCTGCGCAGAGGAGTCTGAGCGCAGTCAGGGGACTGAAACGCAGGGGTAGGACGCAGACCTGAGGGCCTCAGCTATGACCGCTGATGGAGCCTCTACAGCCCAATCCAGAATACTCCCTCACCCTTACAGATAAACCACGGCTGAGAGCTAAGGGTTTCAACATTGTGAATCTCCAGGACACCTCCCAATCCTGTCATGAATGCTTATCACCCTCCTGAAGCACAATCTGCCTGTACGTTTCCCCCTTAACAACAGTTCTTACAAACCACAAACTAGGCCTGCAGAAGCTGACACTGCAGACTAAACATTTACCGCGATTTCTAGAAAAGCATATCAGGATTATCACTTTTTCCACTGAACCGAAAGTAGCCCGAGACCACAAGCATTTTCCATCTTCCCTGCACTGACAGGTACAAGCCTTACAGTAAGCATTAAAAAGCCAAATATGAGAGGTAGTTTTTACAGAATCCATGGTGTTCACAATCAAAAGTCATAAATTGTCTCAATGGCGTAAAAATTTAAACTCAGAATCATCTATAGTATAATGATTGGTAAGTTGCTCCATACATTATTAAATCTCAGTGTGAAATACACATGGACCTGTTTCTTCCTTAATGTTTGAGACAGGGTCTGTGTCAGAGAACTAACGCCAGGTTTAATCCAAGTCTAGCAGACACTAACCAACACAATTAAAGTGGCCAGCGTGTCCCCAGCTATTAGATTCATGTGTGTGAAACATACTGACATAATGTATATGTGTTAAGACCAGATCTTGTTAAAATAAATAGCTTTTTAACAAAAATATTTCCATGTCCCAGCCAATGGTTCACTGACTTCACTTAATAGTCAATACAGCAAAATTCCACATTAGCAGAGATATGGACAATGCCTTAAAATTTGCTGTAATGAAATCCGAATTGTATGCAATTACACTAACCATATTTATATACATAACACATGTTCTTCTACTCTGCCTCTTTTGCAAGACTATATACTCCCTAGGCGAAGACTCCCCAGGCTAGACTCTAAGTCAAGAGAACTTCAACAGTGCCACCTCGTGGCTGTTCTGTAAATCAAAGATGATTTCCCTGGCTCTCAAAAAAAAGCAAATTAAAGGGAAGTAAAAACAAAGGTGGCATAGCTTCAGTTCATTAAAAATGAACTGCATGATCATCAACTTTAAAACACCCTGTCTCCCCTGATGTGAGGCGGCATGAGCCTTTGGGTGCTGGGCACTGACAGACAGGATCGTGTCCACCCATCTTTCCCTGCACTGCTACCTCTCTCAAACAGAATCACAAACACATCTCTTGCTTCACCTCCCTGCTCTTTCCTTCACAACTAAAACTGCCTTTACTGAGCCAGGTGGTAATCCACAGATTCAGTGTTTGGGGCTAATTTATAAAACTTTCTAGAGTGATTTTAACGGTAAGTGGTTTTAGCCTTTGCATTACCTTTTGCACAATTCTTCCCATCACCACAATGACCAGGATGGCTGACCTTGATCACTTCATCCCATTGTTCTGCTGCTGGGCTTCCTAATCTACATGAGAAACAGGGCTCAACCAGGACTCCGCAAAGAGTTACTAACAACAGAACAGCAGAGCCACGATTCTCTAAGCGAACCCTTGAAAACTCTTGAATGTTTCCTCTCAGAGTAGCAAGTAAGCTTCCAACTACTGCTCTAGGGCCCAGCATGGCAGCCTAATGGCTAGCGTCCTCCTATGTCCCCAAATGCTATATGAGCATCAGTTCTTATCCCAGCTGCTCTACTTTCCATCCAGCTCCTTGCTTGTGGCCTGGGAAAGCAGGAGAGGGCGGCCCAAAGCTTTAGGACCCTGCACCTGCATGAGAGACCTGGAAGACGCTCCTGTCTCCTGGCTTTAGATCAGCTCAGCTCCAGCCATTGCAGCCACTTGGGGAGTGAACCAGTGGACGGAAGATCTTTCTGTATCTTCTTCTCTCTGTAAATCTGACTTTCCAATAATAATTACAAATAAATAGATACTCTGGAAAAAAGTCTATTTTTAAAACTGAGAGTCAACTTAATGCCCATGCAAGAGTGATAGGGGCAGGGCAATGAGAGAGAAGATGCAGAAACAAGGCCCACGAAGCGTAATGAAGATAGAAATCCATATTTGCAATCCCCCAAGCATTACTTCCAACATAAATGAACATCTTAGACTTGGGGACACCTGCCAAACATATAAACAGAAGGGAAAACATTTCCATAAGTGCTTTTAGTTACACATTAAGGCATCATGCAGTTTGGATTCCGATGACATCCGAATAAAAAGCATACGGTTAACTCATGAACATTGATCAATAACCAACAGAATTCCTCACAACAACTGCCCCCATCTCCTAGACAGACACTAAGTCATAGATCTTCATCACAGGCACCACAGACGCCTGGGCTGGTTCGAAGACAAGTGCGTTACCTGGTAAGGCGGTAATGAAGTCCCGCTGCAACATGGGCTTCAGGTAAGAGTTAATATGTCCATGCTGATAATGACACATTCGGGAAATCAAATGCTCCACAAATTCCACTTGATCTGATTCAGACCACTGGTCAAAGTATTTTATACACAAGTCTTTTTCTTTCTGATAATTTCCTTCTGATGGCCTCTTTCTGGAGACGATCACAGACGATGTTCCATTACTGATCTATTAAAACACAAAACAAAAACAGGGGAAAGACATTTAACAACTGATATTTCATAAGACCATTTATTACCTTCACATGTCAGTTTTACCCTAATTGCAAACTTATTTCTTTAGAAATCTATTCAGGATATATGTCTTCACTACAGCAAATATCAAAGTGACAGGTGTTTCTAAAGCTCACATCTTCAATCACCATTCTCTAACGCTTATTCCAAAACTAACTGTTATTCGACAACCAGTGCCAGAGATGACCACCTTACATGGAACTGTTCACCTTGGCAGAGTGGCAACTAATTAACTACTAATTGTTTTTAGCGCCTCAATAAAGTAGCTGCCCCTGCCCATGGAGGATACCTTCCACGGTCCCCAGCTGGATGCCTGAAAAAGCAGATAGTATCAAGCCATATATATATACTCTGCTTTTTCCCATACATGGGTACTTACAATGAATCTTAACTTATCAAGTCGGAATAGTGAGAAATAAACAATAAGGTAAAAACAGTTAGGGGAATCTCTCTCAAGTTTCCCACCTCTGGGCACCCAAACCAAAACTACAGGTAGGGTAGGACGAAGGAGAATAATTGTACATCTCTGCTAATGGTTCTCACAATGAAGCGAAAATTATTAGAGTAACAAAAAGGTTTGTTATTTTGCTATCACAGATTGCTAGGCTCCACACCCACACCAGAAGTTCTGGTTCTGTTGAGTCTGGAACACATTCCAGAGCCTGCATTTCTAACAGGTTCCCAAGCGGATGTTGCTGCCACTGTTCTTGCTACTGATCTGATCCCAAGATGACACGTTAGAGACAACATTTTGAGAACCACTAACCTATCTATTGAACAGGAGAAGCAGTGTCTGAAAGCAATTCAATCTAGAAAAAACTGTGTTTCATTCAACAGTTTCCACCTTCCCGGAAAGCGGCCCAAGACGAGCCATGCACCCGGGAACATCCTGGGGAAGGTTTATGGAAACTCACCTCCTTTACCAACAACATTTTCTCATCAAGTCAGCCACCATGCCCTTCAATAAGGTCAGTACATTTCACGAACATTCAAACCATGTAAGCGACATCTAGACATCAGCATTTAAAAAAAAAAAAACCCGAAACCCTGGATCTGGTCACAATAGCTGATGGTAGAAGGCTTAGTAGCTTCTCTGTTTAAAAACAAAATAATCTCGATAGTTTTGTCAAGCATTTGCTGCACCATCTGCCCATGGCTCCTCTAATAGGCTCCTTGCATATTATGCCAGGAGGAACAGCACAGCAGAATTCTGAGAACTGAATAAATTACAAATGTCCGTTGCTTTCATCAGGAAACTCTAAGGACTCCCTACACAGAATGAATCGGGAACTTTTGTACTTGGTATGCCCCCTAAAATAAAGTGGGTGAAATACATCCCAGAAGTATCTGTTATAAACATCCAAAGAAGTCATTGGCTTTCTTTGATTGAAATCTTATAAAATGCTGTGTCGGAAACAACCTCTTAGGTCCACGATTAGAGGCACCCAGTTGCAAAGTATTCACGTCCCACCTCATTCATCTTACTACCCCACTGCCTAGGGATGTTTTTTTCCCCTGGTAACTGGGGTAAGAAAGAACTTGCTGGCACCAGTCGGCACCATCAGGTGGCAGCATTGAGCAAGGATTTTAAAATTTTTGCTTGTAAGATATTCTTATCTAATAGACTCTAAAAACAAGAATTCAAAGAAGAAAGAGTGAAATTTCTTTGCTGTAAGAAATATTTGCAGATACAATAAGGGCCATCTGTGCAGCTTTTAAGCACAATGATATTGACCGCAATACTGTAATAGGAAAACAAAAATCAGAAGTAACTGCCTAATTATAGGCAACTGGTGGGTAATGCAAAGTGTAACACTTTTGCAAGAGCTACAATGAAGCCATTCAAATCTGGTTAATAAAGTAAAACATGCTTATGAATTAAAGGAACAAAAGGCAAGAGGTGGAGCCTACACAGTACTGTGATCATAATCATTTATGAGAACAGCAAACCAGGACAGAATAAATGCACAAAAAACTATAAAAAACTTGATCATGAAAGAAACTTACGTGTTTCCCTTTCCCCTTTATTTTGTCTCATAATAACTTCCAAAATAACTGTTTGCATTAACAGTTTAAAAATCAACATGGTAACAACCTGCATTTGTGTACTGCTTTGTATATAAAGTACTTCTGCGTCTATTATTTCATTTGATAAGCAGTGATTATCAAGATGATTATTTCATTTACAGAAGGGTTCACAACCATCTAATATCCTTGACGCATTTATGTGCCATTAACTAGCTGACTGGAAGATAGAAGAAAACCCCAAGCTATGCTGTTAATAACCACTGTCAGATGAGAAAATGGTAAACGGAGTGCTCTTGTGAAGTAACAGATACCTCAAATGGCACGCAATTCAGTGTACATGCAGCGTCCGAAACAGGTAGCAGCGCATGCACTTCCCCACAGCAGTTCCGCATCCTAGGCTGCAGCCACCCTTTCAGCCCTGTGGCCTCCCCCAGCACCGCTCTCCTTTGCTTCATCTCATAACAAACCTGTTAGGTGCGCGCTACACTTGTTCACTCAGCTGCCTCTTTAGTTTCAAATTAAGTGAACTCAGATAAATGTTGTACAGTATCAAATACAAAAATATCCGTATTTTTTTTTACCATTAACCATATATCTCGAAGACTGATGAAAATACCAAGCCAAAAAAAAAATAATAACAAAATAAAAAAGAAAATACTGAGCCATTTCACATTACATTCTCTGGTCCAGCCTCAAGAGAAAATGGAAAGTGGCAAATCAACATAAAGCCTCATGAGTGAAAGACCAAGGGAAGGAAAGCCCAGAGGAAATAACAGAGAAGGGCGGAGGTCAGGAGCAAATGGAGAAAAACTTGTGAGTGCACATATTGTGCCATTCAGGTGACAAACGACACCACCACTAGCTGTGGCTTGGACAGTGGACACAGACACATTTTAGTCTACGGCCACTAGGGGATCCCTGTGCAAATTCCAAAAACCCGGGGACCATTAGTTATGAAATCAATAAAACTATACAAAAGCAAACAAAAACGTGGGCTCTTGGTTTCACTGAGGACATGAACTGCAGGAGCATCTTATCTACCGTTAGGCAAGCGCTGTCTTTTCTGTGCAATCATTCCTACCTGCCAAAGAGTACTTTTCTTTGGGGACTCATCTTCATTTTGATCTTCCATAACTGAAGTGTTCTAAGGGGGGAAAAACAGGTTATTTGAATTATGCCAAGTTTTTCAAATTCTAAATTAACTAAAAGATATACTTTTGAGAACCCATGCTGGAACGGATCCACACAAACTGAAGAACTACCAGGTTGTGGCTCACAGGAGGGCCATTGGGATCATGTGAGACATGCTCGGCTTCCATTAATCCAGCTAGTAGCTAAAGCATGCCCAGGCTCTTCATTCTATGACGTTTGGGCTGGCTCAGAAAACAGGCCAAATCTGCAGCAGTGTGGCAGAAGCACTACTGCCTCAGCCTTCACCATTATTCTTTTATTTGCGGCAAGAAAACCTAGAGATCGACAAAGTTTGCAACAATGGCATAAAACATTTAGCAGAATGTCTGCTAGTCAAAAATCCACTCCAATAATCAGCTAATAATTAAAAGTGACAAAACTTTGGAAGCCCCCTGCCTTTCTCTCCTCCACACCAACCGCCACCAGCTTGGCAGCCCTCTCTTTCCGGAGTGGCTCTGCAGTCTCTAGCTGGTGGTGCCCCCACGTTTTCCCGGAGGAGAATGCTGCTAGCCACTAACAATCTGGTCTGCCTTGGGAATGCATTAGCTTTTGATTTTTGTGTTTACTACACAAAGGGGTACTGTGTAATTATTCTTTCTGGTGACCTAGTCGCTTAATAGATGCCCATTAACTGGAGATTATACATGATTGGATTTTCCTTTTGAGGCTCCAACCTAATGGCTAAATGGAAACATAATGAGAAGGGAAGTGGGAGAGGTATGCACTGAAAATAACAACTCATCCATGCCTAGGAGCTTCTCTAAGTCATCCCCAACCCTAATACTCTAGGATTGGGGCACAAAACCTAAACAATATTAGTCTCATGGCATCATTCTAAAGGATACCACGGGTCTAATTAAGTTGTCAGAATCTAGAAGATCCTGCTTACTGCCTGTAGGGAACAAGCCCACTGTCCCATTTTCCCTATCCTCTTGCCACCTCCTGAAAAGTTGGGACTTACACAATATCTACAAACAATCCATATGAAAACACCCAACGCAGGTAATCACTTAACCCCAGTCACTGCACAGATCTCCCACTGGTTCCAATCTGGGTGTCCTACACTGTATCGTGTAGGAAGAAAGCCAAAAGCTTTGAAAGCTCTGAGAGAAACAGGGATCTTGATTTGCTCATTCGTTTAATGTGTTTGTATGATCTGGAGCAAGTTCCTTTAGTCATACAGAATGATGGGAGGAATGAAAACACCAGCACAATGCTTGGTGCTTAATGGAATTCAAAAACAAAAGTACTGCATTCCTTGCTTTGAAGACACTACTTTCCCCCACGAGCTATCTTCTCTAACTTCAGAGGCTTTGACATAATGGTTCCAGACAGCTGCCTACAGGGAAACTCAGAGCCTCCTCAAAAAAATCTTCTCGGCCCCAAACTGGAACAAGGTCTGCTGCAGTACAGCAAAGAGGGGGTTCTGTAGGTAGAACCCAACCACAAGCCAGAAAGGAAGGTAGTGAGTGTGCCCTCACTTGCAAAACATGGCTGGACTGATACGAGCAATGAACAGTCCTGGGGCGGGGGAGTGGAAAACACAGAATCAGAAGCACTACTCTCCAGGAATGTTTAATTCCACTGCTATCTTGAAGAAACCCAGAGAGCAAGTTTCCTTAGTGAATGAACAAACTCAATGCAATATCTCTTGAATTTGGTATTTATGAGGTCATCTTGCAATGTCACAATGTCCTGGATTCTAAGAGTGGTAAC